AATCAAAATATACAAGGAGTTTGCAGTCAAACTTGCCACCCCCCCCCTCTGTTCTATTATTAATGCCTCCCTCAGACAAAGCAAATGCCCTAATGAATGGAAAACCGCATTTGTCACCCCCATCTCCAAGGTCACCACCCCACAGTCCCCTAACGACCTCAGGCCAGTTGCCATTACCCTCATACCCAGTCTACTCTGTGAAGACTGTTTTTGAGTGGGCATTTGCTAGAATCTATCAGGCAATTGATCCACAGCAATTTGGCAATATGAGGACCTCCTCTACATCACACTGCTTAGTTAGTTTTCTGGATTTCCTGCACAAAAACCTGCAGAAACGTAAGACATCACTGGCCGTTGCCCTTGTTGAACTCAGGAAGGCTTTTGACCTTGTTGATCACTGCACTGTTATCAACAAGGTCATTGCACTAGGGCTGCCCACCACCCTGGTCTCATGGCTCACTGATTTCTTGAGTGGACGTCGTCAAGCAGTGAGGTATCAGGGTTCTCTCTCCACATTCCAACACCTCACCTGCGGTGTTCCCCAGGACACTCCTCACAGGTGGAAGTACATGGATGACTGCACTGTGGGGGTTACCGTGGACAACACCGCACCAGACTACTCATCGCTACAAGGCACCCTGGAAAGGTTACAAGCATGAACTACAGAGAACAAGGTCACCATCAACCACACCAAAACCATAGTCATGCACATCAATACCGCCACCACTCCAGTGCAAGCTCCAGCAGTCACAGTGGGTGCCCATCCTCTACAGTTCGTGCAGTCTGCCAAACTCCTGGGTGTTACCATAGACCACAAACTGGACTGGAAGGCCCATGTAAACAACACAATCAAGGCAGCCTCGTACCGTCTCTACATGCTACGACGACTTAGGTCACTTGGAACACCCACGCCAGAGCTGAGGACTATCTACAACGCCTTTATTCTCCCGAAACTAATGTATGCGTCACCAGCCTGGTCTTCTTCTCTCAACTCCACCCAACAACGTCGGCTAGAGAAGGTACAGAAAAGGGCCTGCTGAATCATGCTCGGCTCAGACTACTCAGGCTACATCAACGCTCTCTCCACCCTGGAAATGCCATCCCTCAGTGACCTCCACCACCAAGCACTAGCAAGGTTTGGCAGTGGACTACTGCACCATCCTCGTCATCGCCACCTCCTGCCACCGGCAGTCCCCCACCCACCTCGCGCAGTCCGCCACTACAACGAAATTCAGCCCGCACTGATAGATATAAGAATAGCACCATCCTATCTATTGTTGAAATAACAAACAATTCCTGATTTATGTACTGTACAGCCCTGTAAATGTGTTCAACGCATACCATTATGTCTAAGTCAAATGTAAGTTTGTATATTTTCAGCCACCGGCTGCAACTCTATTAATAAACCGTTTATTATTATTATTATTATTATTATTATTTTTATTAGAGCTGTACAAGTGAGACCAGAGCGGATACATTTACATCGCTGTCCACAGTCTTTCTTGCAAGAACACTTGGTCAGTTCTTGGCAGCTCGCTGCTATTGGTGGAAGGTCTGTTTTTTTTTTTTTTTTTTTACAGGGATTAACCCACCTGGGCACAGGTCACTGACCCACATCGGGGCCTGGGGGGCGAAAATTTAATAATAATAATAATAATAATAATAATAATAATAATAATAATAATAATAATAATAATAATAATAATAATAATAATAATTCATAATAAATAACATTTATAATAAATAATAAAAAACTGAAAACTAAATAATAATAATAATAATAATAATAATAAAGAAAAAAGATCAATAGTGAGAAATTATATACTGTGTGTATGTTGTGTTGTCAATAGTAAGAGAAACAATTGAGACTCTGCAATTGTGTGTAAATGATGCAGTAAGTCAGGTCAGCAGCCTGGGATTTGGTCACAATTTTCGTGATGCCATATGGCAGCAGAGTCTACCATTAGACAATACATTATGCTTCCAATATCTTCCCAGGCGGTCGTACCTCCCTGTTTGGTAGCTGCCTACTACATACTACCTACTACATATCTCCTTTCTTTTTCCAGTCCCAGTTAGCAGGACTTGGAATGTCTGGTTGAGTTACTGTCGCCTGACCCCAGATCATTCCACCTTGATAGGCTGCACACTTTACCTTTTCCTTTAGGATAGACCGTGTTGGTGGAATTGCATTATATGATCTCTGTTTGCCAGCAAATAAATCAAGTCTTGCACCATTGACACATAAAGCTGGACTAGACCTGTCATACATTACTACCACAAACTTTTCCAAGACATGGAAGTCTTCTTCACTAGCTGATGTAGGACACTGACTGAGTTTGGTAAAGGTACTGGAGACCTCGTTAAATACATTCCATGTTTGCCATGCAGTCTTTTACCTTTACCATGGAAGGCTGACATAACATCACAACCACTGAATGCATGGAAAAATGTGATTCTAGTGGCTTTTTCAGGCTCCATGGCTACAACTAACTCATGAACAGGAATCCATCTTATATACAGTAAGCCCCTTAACCATAAGAAATCCACATTTCTTCAAGACCAATTTCTCCTAGTGCTGTGAACACAGATATAGCTATGACAATGATATCTGTGTTATTGGATTTTATTAGAACTCATTTACTGCCTTCCAATACAACTTGTCTTGCATGCTCAAAGGAGCGAGTATCTGCCTCTTCACGGGAGTATGGTTGCTATTGGCATCCCCATAGTAGAGTAATCAAATGTGTGTCCCCAGGTTGAAAATTCCCTCTTTACAAGAATAATTTTATACGGCGTGAATGTGAGTGACTCATATATCCATGCAAATTGTAAATCATTGTATGGAAGCTTGCCAAATAAATGTAAGTGCAATTATCTGCCTGTATTCTTATTATTACTAAAGGTAATGACTGATTGGTTATGACAAAGTATAACCAATAACTTAGATGGATGTTGGAAATTAATGGAATTCATTATATCATCATTAAACAAGTATAAATTACATGGAAGGTCGGGTGGTGGAGTGAATTTCTTCGTAGATACACCATAATCTCCTGTAAGTAACCAGTGTGAAGGTGTCTAACTCTACGGTAAGACATTAAGAAACAAACTGTCATGGGTTGCGTTGGGCCTCCCGCACAACCCATCCCAAATGTTTGTTTACGGTAGAGATAAGGTAACCGGCCAGCCATAACTGGGACATGTAGGGGGGGGGCAGGCCAGTGAGACAGTGGTGTACTGTTCTTCACTTCACGCCTCAAAAAAACCAATTTAGCCAGTGGGCTTTAGACCTTGGGTTAGAGAAGACCTCCTGCTCCGCGGACTTAAGATCAGGGGCCATACAGTCCTACCAGTGCTACGGGTCTGTGTGTGCAAATCCCCGAGATTTTTGTTAAGTCCAGTGACAAGTTAACACATCCTGTAAAGGAAGTGATCAATGGTGAGGGCCTGTTTGCTACAAGAGCACTCCAGGCCGGCCTAATAGATCTAAACGATTAATTCACCAGGTTGACAAACTCTCCCTTATAACTTACGGTACTGTGGCGTGAATGTGAGTGACTGACCTATCTATGCAAATTATAAGTCCAGTGTATGGAATTGTGCCAAATAAACGTAAGTGCAATCATCTGCCCGTATCTGTGATCCCTCTATTATCATTATTACCAAGGGTAATGACTCATTGGTTATGACAAAGTATAACCAATAACTTAGATGGATGTTGGAAGTTAGTGGAATTCACTAAATCAACATTTATCGAGTACATAATGCATTGAGTGCCGGAAGCAGAGCAAAATTCTACGTAGTGATACACCATAATCTCTTGGGTGAGTAACCAGTGTGAAGGTATCCGAGTTCTAAGGTAAGAAAGCCACCTTCCTGCATTTAAAACGTAACAGTTAGGTTAGGTTAGGTTATTTAGGCTGAGTTAATACAGTTGGTGTTATCTGTACACTAACCTGTCTCTGCCTCTTTATTGCAAACCTAATACACGTGGTGGTTCCTAGTCAGCAAGACAAACACATACACACGCAGCAAAAAACACAAACACAGTATACAGGCGCAGACAGACGCAGTAGACAGTAAATAGACACAGTAACATACGTGTATATATATATATATATATATATATATATATATATATATATATATATATATATATATATATATATATATATATATATATATATATATATATATCATCCCCAAATTCAGTAACACAGGACAGCTAATGGTAATTCGACGACACTTGTGGGATGTCTACTGCTTCTGTATATACGACCTGGCAGCTGATAACCGGCGTGGAAGCTGGGAAGGGGTGAAAGGAGGCCTTTAACACTATATTAGGAAGGTTTACATATTATCTTCGTTTTCTGGGTTATCGTTCTTACAAATTATATTTTCTTGCGGTCGTAGCTCTCGATTTCGTAACACCGGGATTTATTCAATTGTGGATTTCAAGTGTTTGTTCTATTCTCTTCTTGATAAACTGTCCTGTAAAAAAAATATTTGGATATAAACTGTGTCTGGTTGCTATTTAAAGCCATGTCAAGGCCTCATGTAAGATTTATTTCACTAATTGCAGCACCAAGGAAATGTGGTCCTCGACTTACTCGGGCTATTATTATATTTTTTTTATATCATATTCGCCACTTATCAGCTTACTAGCCGTTATACCTTGATTTGGTTGTATCCATCGTTCCTCAAAACTTAGTTAAGTCGTGACTTATGTTCGTCAACCCAGACTTCGGTTTGGGAGGATGACTGACCTTTGCTCGAGTCTAGAGACAGTACTGTATTAAGTTTCATAGCCAGGAAATAGTTTTTGGAAGGGTATTGCAGATATGCAATCTTATTTGCATTGATGGTGGGAGATATCATTCAAAGTAAAGAATATAACTAGAATCGATCAAGTTTGCTTGTCCGCTAAAAATTGCGAAGCTAATCCTAAACTTCTCGAGGGCGGCAACAAGCGGTACGATAACTTTACACTACTATGCCTCACCGCGGTGCTCATCGCCTCCAGTCTCGACGCCACCGCACCAGTCGTTTTGAAAAAGAAGTTCGAGTTAGTGTCTGTAAACTCTTGGTTCTCTGAGTTGTATTGATAGCTCATTAAGGTGAGAATTTTTCAGTTTTTATTTACTCTTAATATTAATATCCGTACTAGATATACTGAAAGGTAATGCCTTCGAATTTTCAAATGTACAAAGAATCTGTGAGGAGAAAGTGTGATTTCTGAGGAGGCCATATTTAATTTCCAATTTAATTTCTCATCGGTGAAAACTTTTTCTCTAATAAAATCAAACAATTATTGTGGATAACGAATTCTCGTGTATTTTCTTGTGAAGAATTTAATTACTGTAAAGACAATCACTCACTCAAGAAGACGTTTATAACTACTACAGAAGAGTTGTTCGCAGTACCAAATAGTGAGAAGCGCTACTTTTTCTCTGTTAAAATCGGACATATAAAACTGTGAAAGATTAATATTATTCTTGTTTACAGTAGTTTTTGTGAAGAATTTTATAAATGTAAAGACAATTATTCACTGAAGAATTGATAACTATCACCAAAGGACAAGACGCTAAAAAACTCTTGGGATTTTGCACTCCGAGAGTGAAAGTGAAGCGGTTTTACTCTTATAGACTTCGAATTTTAAACTGAATTTATGAAAATAACTGCTGACGTGAGAAGGCAATCTCAAACATTTTCTTAGCAGTTTTGTCAAAACGGATTCACAAATTATTCTCTTTGAACTAAGCTGTGCCACGCCCCTCCTTGAACAACAGCTGTGCCACGATCCCCCTTGAGCTACAGCTGTGACGCCCCTCCTTGAACTACAGCTGTGTCACGCCCCTCCTTGAAGTACAACTGTGCCACGCACCTCCTTGAACTACAGGCTGTTGCTGCGCACGCCCTCAGCCGAACTACAACTGTGCCACCCTCGCCAGACTACAACTGTGCCACGCCCCTCCTTGAACTTACAACTGTGCCCACCCCTCCTTGCACTACAGCTGTGTTACGCCCCTCCTCCAGACTACAGCTTTGTGTCACGCCCCTCCTTGAACTACAACTGTGTCACGCCCCTCCTTCAACTACAACTGTGCCACACCCTCATTGAACTTTGCAACTGGCTTGCCACGCCCCTCCTTGAACTACAACTGTGTCACCCTCCACCGAACTACAGCATGTCACGCCCTCCTTGAACTTCTAACTGTGCCCGCCCTCATTGAACTACAACTGTGTCAGGCCCTCCTTGAACTACAACTGTGCCACGCCCCTCATTGAACTGCAACTGTGCCACACCCCTCCTTGAACTACAACTGTGTCACGCCCCTCCTGAACTACAAACTGTGTCACGCCCTCAGCGAACTACAACTATTGCCGCCCCTCCTTGAACTACAACTGTGCCACGCCCTCCTTGAACTACAACTGTGTTATGCCCTCCTTGAACTACAACTGTGTTATGCCTCCTTGAACTACAACTGTGTACCCTTGCCCCTCTTGACCTCTACAACTGTACCCCACGCCCCTCCTTGAACTACAACGCTGTGTTATGCCTCCTTGAACTAACTGTGTTATGCCCTCCTTGAACCCCCAGCTTTGTGTTGTGCCCTCCTTGAGCTACAGCTGTGGTATGCCCCTCCTTGAACTACAACTGTACCCGCCGCCCCTCCAGCCAGACTACAGCACTGTGCCACGCCCCTCCTTGAACTACAACTGTGTCACGCCCCTCGTTGAACTACAACTGTGTCACGCCCCTCCTTGAACTACAACTGTGCCACGCCCCTCCTTGAACTTCTAGCTGTGTTGCCCCCTCCTTGAACTACAACTGTACACTTTCCCTCCTTGAACTACAACTGTGCCACCCTCCTTGAACTACAACTGTGCCCACGCCCCTCCTTGAACCTAACTGTGCCACGCCCTCCTTGAACACAACTGTGCCGCCCTCCTTGAACACAACTGTACCACGCCCTCCTTGAACTTCTAACTGTTATGCCCCTCCTGAACTACAACTGTGTCCGCCCCTCATGAACTGTGGCCACGCCCCTCCGCGAACTGAGCAGCGGCCAGGCGCCCTCCGCCAGACTACAACCATGTTATGCCCCTCCTTGAACTTCTTTAATGTCACGCCCCTCGCTTGAACTTCCCAGCTGTGCCGCTTTCGCCGAACTACAACTGTGTCACGCCCCTCATGAACTTCTGCTGTGTTATGCCTCGCCAGACCACAACTGTGTCACGCCCCTCCTTGAACTACAACTGTGTCACGCCCCTCCTTGAACTACAACTGTGTTATGCCCTCCTTGAACTACAACTGTGCCACGCCCTCCTTGAACTACAACTGTGTTGTATGCCCTCCTTGAACTACAACTGTGCCCGCCCTCATGAACTGGCTTTGTGTTATGCCTCCTTGAACTACAACTGTCATCACGCCCCTCCTTGAACTTCTAGCATGTTATGCCCCTCCTTGAACTACAACTGTGCCGCCTCCTTGAGCCTACAACTGTGTCACGCCCCTCCTTGAACTACAACTGTGTTATGCCCCTCGCCCAGACTACAACTGTGTTATGCCCCTCCTTGAACTACAGCTGTGCCTTGCACCCCTCCTTGAAATACAGATGAGCCACGCCTCTCGAACTACAGCTATGTGCCACACCCCTGGAACTACAGCTGTGCCACGCCCCTCCTTGAACTTTAGCTGCGCCACGCCCCTCCCTGAACTACAGCTGTGTGACGCCCATCCTTGAACTAAAACTGTACCACGCCCCTCCTTGAACTACAACTGTGCCACGCCCCATGATGGACAGGCTACTAAGGCGAAACCCAACAAACTGGGCTATCGGCAGTCCATTGCAACTTTCTCTCTCCTTAGTCGTTGCAACACTTGCGCCACTGGATCAGGAAAAGGGAAAGCCAAGATGTGTGGCTGCAGCCTGAGCTCCTGCCTCACCACATAAATCAACTCATGTGCAGCCATCATCCACCTCATCATACTTCTCATTATCATCAAAACCCATTTACCCCCGGACGAGTGGAGAAAGGGACTGACAGAGATGACTGCCGGGAGTCTCTAGTCACAACTCTGCACATGGGTAGCATAGATAAGATGGTCGTTTATCCACTGGGATCTAGGCAGCAGTGCAATCCGGTCCTGTCTATGCGACTGAGCAGCCCTTTCGAGGAGCCACTGTGCTCACCCCACTTAGTGAGGGGGATAAAAAATGGTGCCCTAGACATAGCCTGCCTAAAGAACCAACCTGACTAAGCCACCGCACCCAGTAAGGTTATTTTTATGCAGTCGAAAACAATCATAATCACTGATCCAAACAAAATCAAACTATACAACCTCTTATGGTTGCTGCATGGAATGTCAGGACCCTTCTGGATACTGGCACAAATGAGCGTCCTGAAAGAAGAACCGCCCTTGTGGCAAAAGAGCTGGCTAGGTATAACATCGGCATAGCAGCCATTAGTAAGTCCCGGCTCCCAGACGAGGGTCGACTCACAGAACAATGGTCTGGCTATACTTTCTTCTGGAAGGGTAAGCCTGTTGCGGAGAGAAACTGCCTTTATGGAGTTGGGTTTGCCATCCGCTAATGCATCCTACATAGGCTAACTGAAAGGCCTGTTGGGATCAACGAGCACCTCATGACGCTCTGAATCCCACTTATCCACTCACGTCATGCCTTTTGCATCAGTGCATATGTCCCAACACTGGTTGCAGAGGATGACATCAAGGAGGCCTTTTACACCGACCTTGACCGAGTGCTAACTTCTATCCCTAGAGAAGATAAGGTTGTGCTCTTAGGTGACTTCAATGGCAGAGATGCTGACATTTGGCTGGAAATCATGAGGAGAAATGGACTTGGCAAGTGTAATCCCACTGGCCTACTCCTCCTCAGCAAGTGTGCTGAACACAACCTCACTATCACCAATGCCTTGTTTAGGCAGGCTGACAAGTTCAAGGGTTCGTGGCAACACCCACGATCCAAAAAAATGGCATCTCATTGAGTACATCATTGTCAGAGAAAGAGATTGCCGAGATGCCCTCATCACCTGAGTCATGCATGGCTCAGACCACTGCGATATTGATCATCGGCTCGTCAGACCCAAGCTCTCACTTCACGTCGCCCCAAAACGGTGGAGGCAGCAAGCCTCAAGAAGAGGTTTTAACACTAACTGTCTCGAGGACCGAGCTGTAGCACATGCTTTCAGAGAGCAGTTCAAACATGGGTTGATAAAAAACCCAACAACAAACAACCCAAATCCCCATTCCGAATGGGATATTTTCGACACTGTCATAACAAAAAATTGCAGAGAGACCCTTGCCAAATCGAAAGATTACACCAGGACTGGTTTGAAGAAAATGACCGGCAATCAGTGTACTTGTCGATGATAAACGTGCTGCTTTAATTGACTGGCAGAACAACCCTCAGTCTCGGACCAAAGCTGAAACCTTCTGCAGGAAGAAAGCAGCAGCCCAGCGTGAACTTAGCAATCTAAAGAACTACCGGTTTAAAAATAAAGCATGTAAAACACAAAAACTTGTGGATCAATACAAAATGCACAAATTTTTCAGTTCCAATAGCACATTTAATGGGTTCAGTCACTCATGGCACAGCCCCCCCTCTGCTCATCCGACGGTAACTCCCTAATTAAAGATGAAGAAGGCATCCTTCAGCACTGCAAAGAGTACTACTATTTGATGCTCAACCGAAACACCGATGTGGATGTCCTGACTACCCAGCAGGACCTTCAGCATCCAGAGCTGCCTCACCTCAGCTATCATCCATCCCTGGATGAGGTAGCTATTGCCATCAAAGAGATGAAAAATAACAAAGCATCAGGGCCTGATGGAATCCCAGCCAAGGTGCATAAAGCAGGAGGACCTCTGCTTACCAGCCATCTCCACTCTCTCCTGGAGAATATATGGGAAAAGGAGGAAATCCCCCAAGCTCCTGAAGATGCCTCCAACATCACTATTCATAAGAGCAAGGGAGACTGGTCAGACTGTGGCAACTACCGCGAGATCTCGCTGCTGTCTGTAGCTGGCAAGATTATCGCCCGAGTCCTCCGAAACAGACTTCTTCCTAAGGCAGAAACCTTTCTCCCAGAA